CCCGTCCTCGTCCTCGTCCTCGTCCTCGTCCTCGTCCTCGTCCTCGTCCTCGCCGTCGTCGTAGTCCTGGAGAGAAGTAAGTAGGGAGGGACGAGGGGGCAGTGTTCGGTTGGCCGGGCTGCTTCCGTGTATTCCGGGGGTGGTTTTGGTGCGCGCGCGCACCGGGGTTGCGCCGTGGTTTCATCTCAGTTTCGCAGCCTCCCTTCCGCGGTCCGCATCAGCTCCGGCTCTCGCCGCTGGCACAGAGGTGTGTCGTTTTATCCGCGTTCCCTGTCGTCGTGACGCGGCGCGACGTGCTCGCGTCCCTTAACGTCCCGTTCTCGTCGATAATCCGCGTGCACGTCCATTGGATGTTTGTCCGGGATTAGGAACAGCTTCCGACGAGGTGTACGCGTCTCCCCGTCGAGTGGGAAAGTCGCGCGAGGATCGCGGAGACAAGTGGCAATTGCTCGTTCGTCCTTCGACGTGTAACTTCCACGCGCATCGCTCCGTCTCTGTCGTCTCGGCCGTCGGAGTATGTTATCGTGCGATAGGTGATCCAACGACAACTGACCAGGACAATGGTGTGCGATGCGGAGGTTCCCACGCGTGTAACTTGGTAAGAATGCGACTGGTTTAAGCGACGCGCGTGCGAGCTCTTCGAGCGATCGGTTCCTCGATCGTCGACCGGGCTGACGGCAGGTTGATTCCTACGGTGGCTACCGAACGCCGCAGGATCGAGCATTGATTTTTCCGCGGTCCGGGCGCCGTGTTTAATTATCATCCGTACCGCCGCCACTAAATGGAACATTGAACGCGAGAGAGAGTACCTTTGTCGATTGTACTCCCTGGGGGAAGCACCGTAATTCCCGAGTTCTAACCGGTGCGCGGCGCGGCGCGGTGGCCGGGACGGTAAAGCACCCTTTGAGCCCTTGTCCCGTCATTACGTGTAATGTAACTTAATCGCCGGGAAATCGGTCGCTTTGAAGGCCCGCCGGGACAACTGCGACCGACAGCGGACGGCCAAGACGCGCCGTAAGTGTCCGCGCCGCGAGGAAATGAAGCGAAGACGGGCCGTCCGTGTCGCTGGAACGTATTGCACATGCAAATCGCGCGAAACTTCCCGCGAAGCGGTTTTACGAGCTCGAAACGAGCTTTTCCTCTGGTAGGGCTCCGGCGAGCCGTTCACCGTCCCGCCGCTCTTTTTCTTTCCGTCCGGGAAAGTTTCTTTGTGCTACCCGGTACCGGTCGCAGACGCATCCAGCCGCGAACAACGATTAATTCTCTCCCCTCGCCCCGGACGAGGCGGCAGCCATCGAAATCGTTCGGGTAGAATATACTTTAAAGCTTCTATGAAGGAGGCTTGGCTCTTCTCTCTCTATCTCTCTCTCCGTTCCGCGTGCATCGTTTATAACTCGCTGCGGACGCGCACGAAACACACCCGTACGAACCGTGTTTCCTCTTTTCCTCCGCGCTCGGCTGCCGTTTATTAAACGGACGCCGATATTGATGCGTTTGATTTATGGCCGGTACTCCTTGGACCTTTATGGATCTGCCGCTGCAGTTTCCGCGACGTCGTTTCTATTTTACTCGAATGTCCTGCGTTTCGCATTCGGAAGCTTACAGGTCTCGTATGGATAACCAGTTAGCGTAGGCGAGATTTAAGTAATCGGCACGATGGTCCGACAGAAGGGCGAATCGTGAAGTATCGAGGAAAATGAAATCTCTGGACGAAGTGGTATTACTATTTTAACACTAATCGTACCGGCACTCTTCCTACCGCACCAGTCAAGCAACTGGCTGTAAATTAAAGATGAACAAGTTAGATGATACATGTACGGTAGTGGAAATAGAAAGAAAAGGCAAACGTTGCAAGACTGGTTAATTGGACAATATAGGAGTTGATATTAAAGTTAAATCCTCGAAAGTGAACTGAGAATTTTAAATTCGGTCCTTTGACCGGTTCCCGGTACAGTTAGTGGTACTAACACTGCATCGTATAATATCGTAATAGAATGATTCAGAGAAGCTACCGCTTTAAATTTAATCTGATAACTATTTGACGACACAGCGAGGAAAGGGAAGGACGGATTAACCGGAGAAATTTCAGGGAACCTTGAGGGGTTGAAAAGACGAACGTTACACTCAAAAGAGACGAACGGCGTCGACGGGCGACGAATGTTAAGCGAAACAGCGTTGTAATAATAGGAAAATGTATCGAGGAGCGACACAGATTACGAGCACGACGATAAGTGGCACGCAAATCCAACCGGCGTGGAACGATAACGTAGCAGATTGGCGCATAGAGAGATTAGCGCGAAGCAGATCAAACGAACGCGTAAGCGCATCGCACAGTAAACTGGAATCGTAAGAACCCGGACTAAATTCATATTTTCGTTATTTTCATATCAGTATTCACGAAACAACCTGTTTCCGGGGTTCTTGGGTTCACAGAATCTGATTCTGGCATAATTTTTTTAATAAGACGAGAAGCAACCCTTATAAAACTACCCCTATAGCGGATGTATCATCCCAAGAAACTGAAACTTCGTCAATTGATTCAGAAAGTGATTTTAAGTACAAAGTGTTGCACAAACATAGCCTCGGGACCCAATAACTGAAGAGTTATTGTTAACAGAAGATAAAATTCCTGTTAACTTCGACGTTTGAGCGTCGTGAACGACATTTGAAAGATTGCAAGCTCTTAAAATGGTAAATACATATCGATTTATTCGACTAGATTCGAGCTAACCCTTATCCCTAATCGAAATACAGTAAGCAAAGTACGCCGATCTCAAAGAAAACAGAATTCCTCTAGAACAATCGTCTCTCCCATATTCGAAGCTCCTCAATTAATCTAACGACCTCCCGCAAACGTTAAGCACATCGTCAGTTATTACACACATTCAAGCACATCCGATAAAAATTTCATGAACGCTCGAGAACCTCAAAAATTTTAATTCACTCCCGCTTTGCTCGGTTCCCGTCCACGGATGCGTCGCCCGTAAGAATCCTCTAAAGCGTGGGTGGACAGTTCATCTCCAATTCGCGTTCAACGGCGCGGAACACGCGTACGCGCGCACAGGTTCGAAAGAAAGGCACGCCGCGAGGATCCAGCATAAAAGTTAACAAGACATCGTTGCCGCGATCGGTTCCGGGACAACCGTATTTTCCGTCTAATTGAACCAGGGCAAAGCGAATTTCCATTAAACGATGCATCGACGAACGTCCACTCGTTTCAAATAATCAGCAGTCCCGGCTGATTGTCGATCGTCCGCTGCCCACCCCACCGGCCGCTGTTCCGGGCCGTCGATTTACGATGCACTCGCAATTACTAGATGGTCGATGGGCGACAGTCGAATTTGCGTAGTCCGGCGTGTCGTCTACACGCGAATCGCGAGCGTAGTTTTCGTCGGAAGCGCGACGACCGGCGAGAGGAGCGAAGGCGCGCGCCATAATAAGCGAATAATTCGCCCGCGAGCCGCGCCGCACCGCACCGCGCCGAGCCGAGCCGAGTCAGCGCCGAAGTAGAAGCGAGCGCATCGGGCAACGGCGTTTCGCGTCGTTCCTTTGACGAATTACCGGCCCCTCGCTCCGCGGTTAACTCGATTTCCACGGCGAGGAAAAGTCCGCCGCGTTTTACGGCGGGCCAGCCAACTCCACCGCGAAACGCCGCGTTCCG